TCAAATTGTTATTATTTTATTCAATTTCATATTTTATTTTTCTTCAGATATTTCCTCTCCATCATAGTTGTTGATTATAATTTTTAATTCAGTCACCTATATGGATACTTCAATGAATAGGTAGAACTTCAACTGATCTAAACACAGGTTCTGTTTAAGTACAGAGAGACACAATACACACGACCCTATACTAAAGCTGTTAGGAAATCTATTTATGACAATAAACAAATCTATCTAGAATAATACATATAAATTTCCATCAGCTATTCGACGATAGTAGTAACAAATTATCCGAGTATTGTAAATCAGTCAGCCCATTCTATACAAGTCAGTACGATCTATATTACTTACAGCGAAATCTCTATTTGTGCCAGGCAGGTTTCGAACAATGCGATATTCTATTTGGATTTAATGGAGTAGTTCTCTTAGCAGAATCGATCTATTTAGTTCAGCAAATTTTTTATCGCTTGGAGCGCACGAAAGGAAATACCTATAATGTTCAGAGAACATCGTGCGTTCCTAGGGATGATAGGGATAGGAGGTAGGTATTGGAATTTTTTTTGAACTTCTGGAGATTATCTGTTGTTGGTAATACTTCCTCAGGCAATGAATTCCAGAGCCTAGCCGTTCTATGGATAAAGGAGTTTTGATAAAGTGCTGTTCAACATCTCTCGAGTTTGACAACGAAAGGATGTGCTGACTGGGCTTGTCTAGTTCGTCTGACTTGTATTGCTAGTGAAGGGATGATAGCAGAGATTTCCGGAGCACATTTCCCGTGGAAGGATCGATAGAAAAATGAAAGGTCGCCGACCTTACTACGGTGTTTCAATGATGTCAAAGAGTGAGTGAGTGTGGCGTCATCCACCAGGCGGATGGCTCTTTCCTGGATGGAATCTGAGAGCATCAGCGTATGTTCTGGTGCTGAACCCCATATGTGGGAACAGTATTCTAGAACAGTCCGTATCTGCGCTTTGTAGATAATGAGAAGCTGTTGAGGTGTAATGTAGCTCTTCGCACGGAACAAGAATCCGAGTTTTTGTGAAGCAGCTTTTGCGATGGATCTGACATGATAATCCCATGAAAGAGTGTTGCTGATGGAAATACCGAGCATAGATATGGTGGGCTTGGTGGAGATGGTGGTGCCAGACATTACAATGTCGGGCATACTGAGTTCCGCCTTTCTAGAGAAAATACAGGCTTAAGTTTTGGTGGCGTTGAATTCAACTAGGTTGTTGGTTTCCCAGGCTGTGATTTCAGCAAGGTCTTCATTGACAGCATTGACCTGCCTGCGCCGTGAGTTCTTAGTTTCCTGGGAAGAAATGGTAATTCTGGAAGACAACGCAGTATGGAGGGTAATATCATCTGCAAAGCTGTGGATGGGGCAAGTTGTTACTCCCAACAGATCATTGATATGAAGAAGGAATAATGTTGGTGCCAAAATTGATCCTTGTGGAACGCTGGAATTGATGCCAATGGTATCAGACGATACACCGTCCACCACCACATGAAGCGATCTGCCTGAGAGAAAACTCGATAAGAGATGGCATAGCTGAGGTGGTAAGCTGTATGATGATAGTTTATGGAGGATTCCTTCGTGCCAAACACGGTCAAATGCTTTTGATATGTCCAACGCGACAGCTAGAGATTCTCCGTGTTTTCCTAATGATGTTTGCCATGAATGGGTGACGTAGGCAAGTAGATCTCCAGTAGATCTTCGGTGGCGAAAGCCGTATTGTCTATCATTGATGATTCCTGAGCTCTCCAGATATTTGATAAGGTCAATATTGATGGCTTTCTCCATCACTTTGGAGATTTCTGATAACAGGGCAATGGACCTGTAGTTGTTGTGCAGGTTCTTGTTCCCTTTTTTGGGTATTGGTTGGACTCTAGCTGTCTTCCAGCATGATGGAAAAATACCCGACCTGTACGAGACGGTAAACAACTTGCAGAGAATCGGTGTTAATTCAGGTGCACATTTTTTGAGGATGATAGGTGGAATTCCGTCAGGACCGTTAGCCTTATTCGTTTTGAGACCAAGTAAAATTCGTCTGATAGTGCGTTGACGGATGACGATTTCGGGCATTCGACTCTCAATCGGTGGAATGTCACTTTTCCTTGGGAATCTAATGTAGAGTTTGCTGCGAACATCTCTGCAAAAATATTTGCTTTCTCCTGCGATGTTGTTGCTAATGTGCCGTCGGATTTGGACAGTGGTGGAAATGAACTATTAGTGAAATTTCTTCCGACCGTTTTAGCAAGGGACCAAAACGAACGGGAGCCATTGGGACAATCTATGAGTTTCGATCTTATCTTGGCATTGTATATTTATTTTGAAGCATATATTGTTTGGCTGCAGTTATTCCTGGCATCAACGTATTCTGCTCTAGTCGCGAGGTTAGGGTTTTTGCGCCAGCGATGGTAGGCTGTTTGTTTCAAGGCAACAGTTCTAGAACAGTTCTCGTTGAACCAGGGTTCCGATGGTGATCTTTTCGAAGAATGAGATATGTATGTGTTTGTTCCGAGCATAATGATCTCGGATATTTCCGCAGCACTCTGTGAAGGTCCTCAGAGTCAAAGCATACTCTATGCCAAGGAAACTCGGAGAAAAACATGAGGAGACCGTCCCAATCTCCTGGATTGTAATACCATATAAGACGTGGGGGTGCCGGAGCAGTTGATGGAATGAAGAATGGGCAGGTTGTGGAGATGAGTGTGTGGTCAGAATTGCCAAGTGGAGCTCGTATATCTATGGTGTAGGGTGCTGAATTATTAGTGAGGAATAAGTCAAGTACGTTAGCTGAATGGTTATTGGCATCAGGAATTCGTGTGGGTTCTTTGACAAGCTGCTTCAAGCCGTGAGTGATGGCGAAAGCTTCGGCTTGTCGCCCAGCTTCATCCGTTCTGTTAGAGTGTACGAGCCAAGCAGTGTTGTGTACATTGAAATCGCCCATCATGATGATCTCTGCTGCTGGATGGTTCTGTTGAATTCGGTCAAGCTTCAGGGACAAGAATTCGAAGATCTCTTCATAGGATGGATCATCAGGTGATAAGTAGAGACAACAAAGGTATTTCACACAAAGGTATTTGGTTTGTTGCTGGCTATCGAGTTTGAACCACATGACATCAAACTTATTTGGTTCCAAAGTTTTTTCTCGTTGACAAGAGAGATTCGTTTTAGAGTAGAGGCAGAAACCTTCCTTGAATCTGAAACGTGTGTGGAGTTCGTACCCAGGACAGAGCAGATAGTTCGTATTGGTAGATGAATTGGCACATATGTCTGGCTTTTCAATTTGAAGGTGTCGATGGACATCGTTGATGTTCTTACTTAGACCTCGGATGTTACATACGTCTATCTTGAGGACTTTTTCAGTCGATGGTGAACCCCCTCTAGCACTTCTCGCTCGAAAATCCGAATGGAGAGGTATTTTACTTCCGGATAATTTTACTTGAGGACAACTCATCATCGCTTATTCTGTATAGAGAAGGGAGGTTGGCGTGGAAGGAAAAGGAAATTGGGTTGGGTTGGCTGGAACATCAACCAGCTACTGAAACACAGGTAAGTATACCCATTTCACAGTGCCTATAGTTGATGTGGTGGTATCGCACCAGGCGATGGCGTTAACCATCTTCCACCTATTGGCGTCCTTTTAGTCGCCTTCTACGACAGGCAGGACTTACCGTGAGGTTATTCTAATTCGACCACCACACAGAAATAAATAGCTTTAGCGCCTATTTGATGCAGATATTGTGCTGTGGTTATGCAGTTCCTTTCAACTGCTAATAGAACATTATATCAGTGCATTTTTCCAAAAATTTCAGCCAGCCTGGCACAAATAAAAATTTTGCTGTCAGTAATAGGTCGTACTCATTTGTTTCAACTATGTTGACTGATTTACAATATTCCGATACTTTGTTACTATACTTACAGATCTCCGAATGGCTGCGGGAAATTGATATGTATTATTCTTTGTACTCGAAGAAGAAAATCTTTCTTCGAATCAGTTGAAGTTTCACCTATTTATTGAAGAATTAAAAATTGAAATCAACAATCATGATGGAAACTCATATATGAAATCGAATAATATTGATTCGACTCATCTGATCACCTCTCCTCCACTGAATATGAATTATATGAATGCTTCAATAAATATAGGCCAAACGTAAAATGATTTTGAAGCAGTATAGGTTTCTTCGAAAACAGAGCGTTCTCCTATTCGTTCTGTACAGGCTGTTTCAATTGATTGTCCACATTATGGTATCTTGATGATATTAGCACTAAAAGAAACGAAACACACATCCCCATATTCTTATTTTTGACATAACTCGAATGGCAACGATATGCAACAATGACTTTTATCAAGAATTTTCATTTAATTCAACGTCACGATAGACTCTTCAAGCCTCTGTCAATACTGATGACAATTGAAACGTAGCCTTGATTATATTCAAGAAAGTCGGTTATAAGCCGAAACAAATTGAGGAATTTGGAGAATTAAAAAAAAACATCTTCAAAAATGTAACAAAAAAATATGTAGCGATGTGTATTCGTTGCTTTATCATAGCGCAGATATTAACAGAGATATCCTTCGTTTACAAACAATCTCAATCACTTTATACAACGTCAAATCGGAAGTCAGAAGTTTTATAATCCACTCAAATGCAGACACACCACAGACTACACTAAACACACTGAAACATGAAAAATCAGAAACGTAGTTTCGTTTACCACTATCGAAGCCCAAGGTTTTTGATTGAAAATCACCAACCTCGAGTTGGTATCAACATCCTTATAGTCATGAATGATTGCATCACACTCTATCTTACAGAACATGAATCAGGTGGTGATTTATTTAGCGCATACGCTAATTTTGGTTGGGAGCTTTCGAAAACAGTTTTTGAAAAACTTTATTTCCAAAAAAACAATTTGTCTGAGTTACAAGCGGCAATGTCAAAGCCAGAATCATAACTGAACTGGATTCTGAACAGAGACACAATTTAAAGCAAACAATATTATAATCAGTGAGATAAACATTTAGCGATCTTGCATTTTCGCTAAGTTCCATGGAAGACGGCTGTATCTCCATGCATCGGGCTTCGTAGTGGCGGCTATCTGGATACAGGGTGGTTTGATACATAACACCTCATGACGTTGTTTAGAAATTAGGGCCTGGTCTTCCTTGTGGCATATCGATTTGACAGTTGTCTCGTTGGGAAATATTCCAAGCCATTGATTGGAATTGATTTTCTGGATTTTCTTGTCTCGTAGTTTGATGTGCTGTGGTCTGCAATTCTCATACTTCTTCGTGAAGAGGATGAGGTTGACTTCACATGGTGTCCTTTGGTCAATGGGATTCGCTTCCGGAAGTGCACACATGGCTTCTCCTGGGATGACTTCTTGACATGGCTCGTTGGAGAATATATAGTGATGCTCATTGAGATAAAGAAATTCAGTTTCAGGAATTATTATCTGGTATGAATCTTGTTCTGCGTGAACAGGAAAGGAATATAGGTGATAATAGTTATAATATTCAGGTTCGACAATTGGAACTTCAAGGATGAACACAATTTTCGTGTTTGTTTGATAGGCTTTTATATTAATTATTTTTTCAAAAATAATTATATGTTCTCTATCTGGGCTGTATGGTAGAATGGCATCATCTAAGTATTCGGAAATATACTGCAACTCTTGAAGAAGGTCTTCAGGTTCAATAATGAAAGGATGGAGCACTGCAATCTTTGCAAAGGTTATAGCGGTCTCCAACTCTTCAATTATTCTCAAAATGGTATCCAATACTTCAATTAACTGTATGAAGGTCGTGTGAAGGTTAATTAATAGATACATTCCGGTTTTCGTGAGGTCTTGCTCTCGTACGGCTGCTTCTATTTGAAGAATTCTTGATTTCAAAACTAGTTGATTAGTCGCTAACTTATTCATAGTTGAGTTGAATTTTTCTATCGACTTGGTTGTCAATGATATTTGTTCTTCTAGTAGGACTTTTTGTTTTGTTTGTTGACTATGTAGTCTTTGTATAGCTTCTTCATAATGTTGGCCATCTTCTGCATCGAGGTTTCCAGTAATTGATTTTATTACGTTTCCAAAGATATTTAATATTCCACGTTTTGCTCGTTTATTTGGTAGTATTTGTGTTTTTTCTCAATTTCTTGAACAAGGTGTTCCAAGATCATTTGATAGATGTGCATTTCTCGTTTATATGCTTCTCCGTGATTTTCAGATGAAATGCTGTTATTAAGCTCTATTACATTTGTTTGTAATAATGCGAATTCTTTAGTCAGGGTGCTTACATCAAAAATTCGAATGAATGTCCAATAGTCAATGATATTACGGGCTGTTCCAATTCTTTGTGGTAATAACCCTGGGTTTTCCGTTATTTTTTTCATTGTTGGTCCTCCGGTTCCTCCAAGGGTCCATCGGATCGCTCTGTAACAATAGGATGTCTTAGTTTATCAAAATGGATTCTTCTTGGCGGTTTATTAGGGGATTATATAACGCACGTATGATGATCTTCGTTTATTTCTGTGATCGTTTATGGTCCTAGGTATCTGTCCTTGGATTTGTTTCTGTCTGCTTCGGGATTTTTCTCGAATACTTGATCTCCTATCTTGAAGGTCTTTTGTTCCATTTGATATTCCTTCTGGTGATTATTCGTTCTTTGTCTCTTTGTAGTTTCTCCTTGACTTTTTCGTATGTGAATATGAGTTTTTTCTGATGTTCTTCGACATAATTTTGATAGTATTGTTTATCATAATATATGTCATACGGATTTCTTGATGCTGTATGTCCATATACAAGTTCTAGTGGTGTAAATCCAGTGGCGGAGTGTATGGAATTATTATATCCAATAATTGAGTACGCCATTAGTCGTGATGGGGTATCTGTAGAATGTTGTTTTACAATTCTTTAATGTTTTGTGAGGGTACCATGTAATCTTTCGATTAATCCATTCGAACGAGGATGTTGAGGAGTAATAAAATGAATGTTCACTTTGTGTAACTTCAACAGAGATGTCACGGTTTCATTTTCAAATTCAGTGCCGGAATCAAATGTAATTGATTCGGGTATACCAAAATGTTGAAAGAAATGTATTAGCTTGTCCGATATTTCGATAGCATTTTTACTGGTAACTTGATAGGCTTGTCCTAATTTTGAAAATTCGTCAATGATTGTGAAAAATGATGTTCCTTCGATAGTGAATATATCTGCATTCAATTTTTCAAATGGCCTCGAGGCTGTTTCGGTTACTTTTAGCGGTATTGTTGGTATGTGTCTTTCGTATTTGGCTTTTTTACATACAAAACAAGAGTTTACATAGTTTTCGACAGATTTTCTCACGTTTGTCCAAAAATATCTCCTGTTTAATTCCATGTACGTTTCATTGATACCTCTATGATTTGTTTTGCTCTCATGGTAGTTCTTTATGAGATTTTCTTGTTCTTCTTTATCGTCAACAGTGATCATTCTGTTAGTACATCTGATTAATATAGGGTGATTTCTATTAAAAGTGGTACAGAATACTCTACAAAAGTCTTTATACATTGCTTCTTTTTCAAAGTAACAGAAATATTTCTTTCTTGGTTCACAATATTTCGTGTATATCGGGGTATTATCTGACAATTTTATTGCATGTTTGATTTGATTGTTGAAGGTCAAAGGAATTTCTTCACAGTGAAAAATGTCTTTGTATTCGTAACAACGTTTTGCAATAACATTTTTTTCTTCTTTGTTCATATGATCTGAACGTAAAGTATTCAAATTTTGTATTTGAAGTTGTTCGAAATAATCTTTGTTAGGATCATAATTTTCAGTATGAACTTATTCTCGTAATTATGAATCTGGAAGGCTTCTATTTCTTCGATTTCAAGTGGTTCGAAAAGATCTAGAGTCAATTTTTCTTCAGTAGGGTTGGTTATGGTGGTAACTGCTTTTTTATTCTTCACGGTGACGTATGCTGAGGGCATTTCTACACTTTGGAATTTTTGGTAATTGATAATTCCTTCGGAAATGTCTTCATTTACTGGCATTTCGACAATGTGTTCGGTTCGTAGTAATAAATCTATGTGGAATATAGATGTTTCTTGTTGTGATGTTTCATTTTCGATTTTTTTATCAAAATATAATGGAATGGATGCATTTTGTGTGACAAGTGCATTTTTCTCTAAGTCAATGGATGCTCCGATTTTTGTTAATAAATCGATTCCAATGAGTCCGTCATATTTGAGATTGAAGTCAAATACATAGAACTTTTTGTAATATTCCTGGTTTCTTAAAAATTTTCGAAAGTGAAATAGTTACGCTGTAATCGTGATTACTCATACTGTGAGCTGATTGGATTTGAAATTGATCTTCTTGGATGAATTGCGGATAACAATTATTTGCAATATTGGTACTGATTAAGGTTTTTGTTGAACCAGTATCAATCATGAATTTTGAATTTGTTCCTGGGAAAATTATGTATGGTAATTTGGATGATGTAGTTTTGTTGATGACTATCACTTCGTTTTGCTGGTAGACGGGCCAATCTGAAAATTTTGGTCGTCACATTTTTCTGGTCCGGGTGTTGACTGTTCGGATGAAACAATGTCCGGTTGATAATAAGACTCGGTATATTGTTCAGGTTCATAGTAAGATTCATATTCATAGTCTTCATATTCTTCGGGATAATAACCATCATCTTGGCAGAATAGTTCTTCGGCCACGAAGTTTAGTCTTGGTCGTTGTTGTGTATTTCTCGAATAGTTTCCTGAAGAAGTATCCATAGCAGTAGGCTTTGGAAGTTGTCTGTATGGATTTGGTTGGAATACGTTTCTTTGTTGTGGTCTTTGTTGAGACTGATTCCCGTAAATATTTTGTTGAGGTGGTGATGATCTGAAGAATTGTCTTTGCGGTTGTTGTACAAATGGTCTGATCATTCGAGGAGGGAAATTTTGTATTGGACGATTTTTGGTATTTCCGAAATTCTGTCTGATAGGTGGTCTACTGTACTGCTGCTGTTGTGGATGTGGGTACGAGTTTATAGGCTGAGGTCGTTGATCTCTCTTGTGTTGTTGTAGGATCCGATGATTTGTTTTATTCCGGGCATATTAAATGTTTTCTTTCGTCATGACTTGCTAAAGTGCTACTTCCAAGGTCTGCAAGCCCCTAGAACAAATTATAGATCCGAATGTCGTGCATACCGATTTTTACTGTACGTATCTGAACATTTGCTTCTGTGCAAGAAAGATTCGAGAGTAGGAGACTTCGAATATCTTGACATCTGGCACAATATTGTTGGGGAGTTTCATTACTGTCTTGTTTTAGTATTATCAGATCTCTGAGTAGGGAGTTTTCGTCTCGTTGATCGGCAAAGTTGTGTCTGAGCAACGTACGAAGTTCAACCCATAACTTGATTTCTCGAGCTCCAACGATGAGTTTAGCTCGGCCTACGAGTTTGTTTTTTATGCATGTTATCAGGAATTTGTTGATAAATGCATTTGGATCTGTCTGATTTCGAAATTGAAGTACGATTAGATCGCAAGCTTCAATGAAGTCTGCTAATTCGGCAGGTTCACCTCCAAATTTGGGAATAGCATCTAAATAACTTTTTTCTACGAACGTCAAAAAAAGACAAGCTTCGCGCATTGATAACAAACTGCGAAGTGACACTTTCTTCAGTTTCCTACGTTACCATGATACCTTGCACAAAACAATGCGCGAAGTAAAACAGTGCGCGAAGTACCAACTTCGCGCATTGTCATGTAAAATATATGAGATATTTATATTCCAACTTTTTGGTCCTCAATCGAGCAAACATCCACGAAATCATTTATTTCTGAATGTTCAACAATAACTTTGTTTCATCTCTTGGAGCGCACGAAAGGAAATTCTTATTATGTTCGTGGAACGTCGTGTGTACCTAGGGAGGATTGGGGGAAACCTTTTAAGCCAGTTCAACACTATTTTTTATATCAAGCTGAGCATATTTTCACTTCAGAACTATACTTTTTGACGTTTGTAGAAAAAATATTGTTTGCAACTCGAGCGCGTCATCTCGACTATATTAGATCTCGATCACCAAAGTGGCATTTCGCGCTCTAGATACAAAAATAACTATTTTGGAATGCTGTTGCCATATTGATTTCGGTGTTTTCTTGTAATTCGCGTTCTTGTTGTTCTGTTTCTTGCTCAAGACTAACGTTAGCAAGTAACTCTGAAAGCAGGTCTGTTACTGACATGAATTGTAGGAAGATTCATGGAAAATGGGATTTTCGCGAAAAATAGGGAAATGAGCAATCACTTACATTGAGATGACAATAAAGATGATCTTCATTCTCCTAGGTCCAGATGGTTGCTGGTTTCTTCTAGTAATCCTATTACACTGTGATCCAATTTTGTTTTGAGTGCACTCCACTTTTCGTTTGATTTCACTTCGCGTTTTGGTCTTTCACTTTTTCGTTTCGACACTTCGCGATTTCTTTCGTTTCGTTTTGTCCTTAATCTACTTTGGTAATAACTCCGACGATTTTGATCGAAATCTACCGGTTCGCGAATAGCTTAGGATAATGTCGATATTAGATCAATATGGCCTTTTTACTATCCTACCGACTGCGCCAATTTTGGTTGGGAGCTTTCGAAAAGTTTTTAAAAAACTTTATTTTCAAAAAACCAATTTGTTTGAGTTACAAGTGGCAATGTCAAAGCCAGAATCATAACTGGACTGGATTCTGAACAGAGACACAATTGAAAGCAAACAATATTATAATCAGTGATATAAACATTTAGCGATCTTGCATTTTCGCTAAGTTCCATGGAAGACGGCTGTATCTCCATGCATCGGGCTTCGTAGTGGCGGCTATCTGGATACAGGGTGGTTTGATACATAACACGCTGAATGGACAAGCAATTAGTGCTAAGATGATGCATAGTTACCACAGCAAGGTAGAGTGAGGAATTGATGACACTCCTAGACCAAATAGACAATCTATACAATTCTAATATTCTAAGTCAACCTGTGTACGGTAGATGGATTCCTATTTGTTTCGACTGGGAAAGTCTTATTGAAACCACTTCATACAATTGAATTTCTAGTAACAAATCGATATCGTGATGGTCTAGGAAAAAAAACTCAACAAAATGACTCTATATGTGTATTTATTGCTCATAGTTTTAGGGCAAATAATTATTTTTCTGAATTAGCATAAAATCCATTGAATCCAATACATACAGTTTCAGCAAAGTACTCGATTCAATTGACTTCTTCCAGTGTTTATATTCTGTTGCAACTTGACATGGTGAGGAGAACTTCTCCTATACACGCATTGATCGCCAGAAAACTTCCTAATCGGTTTCCTCACAAAAGAATGCGTCGTAATTTTTTTGCTCCTCAAAA